AACCGGATTACAGCTCAAATCGTATATATGGAGGCACAAACTTAATAATTATTTTTAATAATGATGATAATTGGCAATGGGCCAATAAAAGAATCTATAAAATTGGAATTTTGGTATACATGGTGGGTCGTGTTTTTCTCTGCAAGGAACAAAGAAATGCAAATGTTTTTTTTTTTCGCTTTAATAAATTTTGTGGGCTTCTTATTAGGTTATCTAACTAAATTTTGTATTTTTTTTCTAAAAATTTTTAATAATATATAAGATTTATATATTTTGTTCTTTTTATTATTTTATACATTTCAATTGGTATTTTATATTTTGAATTGTAAAAAACATATTTTTATATCCAAAACCATATGATGTAGAGCGTACATACTTTTTGATAGTGTCAAACTCGGCTTAATCGAAATAGCAAATTTAGAACTTTCGTCACTTTGGACCAAATCCGTTTCAATATTTTTGGAGTCGATCTAGGGGTGTCTGTCCATCCGTCTGTTTGGCTGGCTGGTGCGCACGTAGTTTTATTAGCAAACTTAGGTCGAGTTCAGAGATGGACAATATTGATCCACTCATTCTGGTACCTGCCCACAAAAAGTAAAACATGTCGCAAATACAAACTTTTATTTTTGAAGAAAGAATCGTCATATTTTGTTCAAAATTTTTATCAGTGCTAGGTCAAGAGCGAGAGTAGACAAAAATCCATCAAGTTCCTTCACCACAAAGGGTCAATAAAAATTTAATAATTAAAAATGTAAAATAAAACAAGTAATATAGTATCAGTCGGTTTTGCCGACAGATTTATGCCCCCAGCCTTCAGGTATGATTATTCAAACTGTTGACCCTTTACGGGTGAGGTTCAGAAGCAGTTGGTTTTAAGACTAATAAAAATATAACAACGTGCCAAATTTGGACTATATCGACTACTTTCTATCACCTGTGATTTTTATATCACCCTGCGATATAAAAAAACTGCAACAAACGTCATTTTGTAACCATTCTTGGATGGCGCGTGCTGTGTCCTGTTGAAATGTCCAAGGTATGCGGCCAAAATGTTTGCATGCCCAAGGCTTTAATACACCCTTTTGAATATTTTCGCGATAATATTCGGCATTTGTTCTGATACCACGGTCGATTAATTCGAGCGGAGAGCGACCATCGGCTGTTATGGCGGCCCCCACCATCACCACGGCCAGCGCTTGAGTTCTGGTGGCCAACCGAAGGGGCACATTTTCAGCTGACCTTTCTGGCAAGTAAACACAATCATTTTGTTCGTTTACAAACTGCTGGACAACGAATGTTTTCTCATCGGAGAGAACCTAATTCCGCAGTTCACCACTTTCGACCAAACGAAGCAACTGTATAGCTCTTTTGAGTCTTTTCTCTTTCCGTTGCGGTGTAAGTTCTTGCACTTTTGGGAATTTCAATGGCTTCACCCCGAGCTCAATTTTTAATAATTGCCGAATGCAATATTGCAATATGACAAATATTCGGCCTCTGCAACGCGGGTTTCGATCAAGTCGCTTCCTTACTTTTCGAACCATTTCTGCTGATGTTGCTATTTTCTTTCGTCCACTTCCTTGACGTCGGGCTACGATCCCAGTATCACGGTAACGAGCGTTTGTACGAGACACAAAAGATTTATTCACATTTAGATGCTGGAGTGCTCGAACGATATCCACTAGAGGTTTTCCAGCTAAATATAAAGAAATCACACTATAACGCTTGAATTCCATCACAAATAACTTTTTTTCTGGAAAATTATAACCAAATGCTTTTTACGCAGTTTTTTCATCTCACTCTGTGTATATAGTATATAATACTTAATATTTGTTATTTCAAAAAACAATAATAAATTTATTTTTAATTTTTTTTACATATTATACATTTGTTATTTTTTTAAATTTAATATTTTTATGTTACATATAAATAGCTTATATTTAGTTATTTTATATTTTTATTTTTTACTTTTTTGATATTATTTTATGTTTCACATTTTATATATTGTTTTCTATTTTATACCTCTATTTTAGAATTTTAATATCTTATATTTGTATTTTTAGTTTTTTCTTTTTATTATATATGTTCAACATTATATTTCATGTTGTATATTTATAATACTAAATACTTAATATTTATTATTTTATAAAAATAAAAAATTTATATTTTTTCATATTTTATACATTTTTGTTAATTTTTTTAATTAAATATTTTCATTTTATAATTTCATATTTTCGCATTTATTAATTTTACTGTATATTTTCCCATCCTTAGCAGCACCCCCAAGCTCCCTGAGTCTAAAATAACTCATAATTTCACTTTCAATCAAGAAACCCCGCAGAAAAAAAGCACATTGTATGTATGTTTGCAATATTAATTAAAACTTTGGATCACTTGCTCAAACCTTCATATCTCATGGGGCCAAACTAATATTTAAAACTGCATAATAAATTGTTGTAGTTCTATTTATAAATTGTTCTTCGTCCAGTCTTAACCATGGCATTACAAAAAAACTTGTTTCTTTGCCATCTATGCTGCAGACTACATTATATTATATACACATGTATGTGTGTACGTACGTACGTTAGGACAAAGCAGAAGACAAAACGATGTTGGAATTCCAAATCAAGGATCATTATCATTTGGGATCTTTGCTATTGACTGCAAATGAACCAACGTGATTATCATCAACATTGTTGATTCCTTATCTTCATAATCATGTTAATGAATAGTTGGCTACCTTAATTTTAAAGTTGAGACTAGAGTGCAGACAGATGTTGGTTTTTGCATTGTATTGCTCGTAGGTTGAGGTAGCAATTAATGATTCATTTTCTTTTCTTGACTTAGTTAACTCTACCTAGATCCCTTATTAATTAAAATAAAAATGAAATATTAAGCTGACGTTAGGCTCGTTTAAGAATATTGGGAATTTCTTCAATTATAGAAAGAGTTGGAAATAGAAATTTTGACATTTATTTCAGTGAGAGTTTGCAAATTTTTGCTGGACAAATTTCTTCTTGCAATCACTTGCAACTCTTCTTCTTCTCATTCATCGACATTCAATCAGATGTGTTCTATTGTTTGTTTATTTCTTTTTGTGCTTTCAATTTGAAAATATTTTTTTGGAATAAACAAGACTAATTGTTTCAGGAGAACAACTTTACAAAATGTGAAAACCATAAATATTAATAAAAAAATAAAAATAAAAGAATATTTCCAACATTTTTAGACAAACGCCATTAGCAACACGTTTAAAGGATTACGGGGAACACATCAAATCTATCTTTCTTTTATTGCTCATATTTTTATTTTATTGCAAACTTCCTTTTTATTTATAAAAACTTGTAAAATTGGCTTTTTTAATTCTTTTAATGGGGGACAAATTTGTTTGTTTTACAAAGCAGCTAATTAGTTGCAAGCATGGTACAATGATATCAAGGTAGGGCAGAACTACCATATGATTTCAATTTTTTTATTTTCTTGGCCTAATACGTCATCTTTTTTTGTTTATGTATGTGTTTTCTTTTCAATAACAAAAAAATTGTTCAGAAAACATTCAAATTCGGGTGTTTTCAAAATGTTCATTTCAACGCATGCATCGACAAAATCTAGAGTTTTGTAGCGAAATAATCCTTTAGAGACATATAGTACATGATTTTGAAAAGAAGTGTTGACCTTTCATTCAGTTATCGCGGTTTTCAATTATTTATTCAAAATAAATGCAACAAGTTGTTTGATTTTTTATTGTTTTGATACTAATTCTGACATTACAAGCCAAACAGGTAGACCTCTATACTTGCAATTTTTTCAAAGTTGACCTACCTTCTCTTCATTGTACCATGGTTGCAAGCTTCTACAGGAATACCATCTGTTTACTTTTCGCATTTTTCTTGCAAAAGAGAATAAAACTACTTTACTCTCTCAGAAAGATGTTGCTGGACAACCAGAAACATCTAATGTCTAATTTGAAAAGCATTACTCTTTATCTAATAGTTTCACAAGTCCCAACTATCCAAAATAAATATATCGCTTTTACATCATAAAATCCACAAATTCCCCATAACAAATACGAAATTCCTAAAGTTGTTTAAATAACATTTAAATTGATTTTTATTGATCGTATACGTTTTATTAACATATGGTTTCCTTAATGCAAACCATTAAAAAAAACTGAAACAATAGATTGTTGGGTATATATTCATTCATATAATCGCACAGTAATAATTTCTTCCACAATTTCATTTTAATCGATGGCAAACAATTTATTTCAATTGTCAATGGACACATAACATGATTTATGGATTTATTACCCGGGCACTAATCGAACAAACATCAGTAGTATGTGGTTCAAGGAAATAATACAATATAGGTAGGTAGTGGTAAAATTTTATCAGCGGAAGTATTTTTCGAGGATAGATTTACAATTTATTATTTTAGAGGCCTTGATTTAATAAAATCCATACGATTCATTGCTTTTCCGTATGAATGGAGCTCTATTCTGCTCAACATTTTAAACTACAGAAAAAATATTAAGTGGAGTCATATGTCCTGTTCCAGAAACTGCAAGAATTCACTAAATATTCAAACGTTCATAACAACATTGGAGATATAGAAAAAAACATTCTTCTGGTGGGAAATTTTATTCCATTGTATCACATACATAGGTCAATTGATGAAAGATTTTGCTCTGCAACTAGTTGTTGATTACAGTTATATGCATAAATCAAAATTGATGAAAGTTGTTGACAAAGTATTTTTCATATCCATGACATAGATTAAGAGTTGAACGTCAGCCCAAAAATATATCGCATTCTATTTAGTACAATTTTCTTGAAAATATAAAAAATATCTAACAATATTTATTATCATACTCATAAAAACCACGTTTTTATATAAGGTAGCACTGCTGGTAGTAAGCTCAACACAACCATTAATACAGTACCCTGTACAGTACATTGTGAAATTGTGATTGGTGTTATCACAACCAAGTGAATGTCAAACAGCCAAAAAGCACAAGCACAGCTGTCAAAACATTTCACAACTTTTAACTTTTATCCATAGCCGAGACAAAAGAAATTTGTTTTCTTTACAAAAAAAAAACAATCCGAAGGAAAATATTTCGCAATTTTTTATACAAACGTACTATAAGTACCATAAATACAGGATCATCAACTATTTTAAGCATAGTAATTGTAAGTAAATCACACACATACACAATGGCTGCCAACAACAACAACAATACAAACAACAATCAACCACTTCCAATGACGTCGTCGAATAATTGTTGGGGAACTGTTCCAAAACCCATTGTGGAAGACATGAATTTCGCTGCCATTGTAAAAAATCAGAAAAAAGAAAAAGTCCTTAAGCAAGCAACCGAAAGAGAAAAACGTAAGCAGCAAGAAGAACGTGATTTAGAGGAGGCTTTGGTCAAAAGCCTTGAAATGGCCACTATGCAAGATGCCCAGCCGGATGAGGACGAAGATGAATGGGATTTACTTAATGAAGAAGATGACTTCAAATTCATTTTGCCACCAGAAGTTTTGGAATTCCTTAAAAGTGAAGAAGAAGAGCTGGCTGCAGCTGAAAAGGCAGCCTTAGAAGGCTGTGAGTCGGATGCTGTAATTGCTCAAATGTTGCAGGCTCAATTCGACAAGGAATACAATGAAGAAGTAAAGCGTATCGAAAAAGCCCAAAATAAACAATCCAAGATTACGGTGTGCTTGGATAAGTATATCAAGCCCTACATCAGGGATGTGGGTGAAGACCTCGAAAGTGATGATTACGAAGAAGATGAGATACATCGTGAAAAACGTGATTGGGATCGTTTTGAGACTAACGAACGTATACTGGAAGCCATACCCAAGTGTGGCTATGGCATGGATAAGGATGGTGAAATGATTACAAAACATGATGAAAAGTTGTGTGGTGTGCGGAATGCTTGCCGCATGATGTCGCTGCCGTTGGAATTTGCAACTGGTGACGGGGCTGGTTTTGATATGAAACTGTCGAATAGGGTGAGTGTGTGGAGAAACATTTTTAAAGTATTTTTTGAGCCAGGAGAGCTCTCAATTGATGTGATTTTTAAATGCTTTAAAAACAATCAATTTTTTAATTAGGATATTTAAAACGCTTTCTAGCGACTATCAGCGACAATATTTGTGAATTCTTAGTTATTTTCTGAAGGACTGTCTAATTTCGGATGCTAATTAAAGGCTTATTTTCTATAGGAGTTAAAAGATCTCCTTTCAAGGGGAGGTAACCATTCGAGTTTTGCTCTATAGAGGATATTTAAAATCTTGTATTGATCTCGTCATTTTTAGAGGAAATCTCTATATAGCATTTTTTACGAAGACCCTTTAAAGAAGAGTTCTAACAATAGAATTCCTTTTAGAATTCTGTCTATGGAAGACCTAAACCTCAACATCTTGTGGTACTCTATGAGACTTTTTGGAAGCAATTCTAATTTGGAATACTTTAAGTAGACACATATTTTAGAACTTCCTATTTTTTACAATTCCTTTCTATTAAAAACCAAACATAATTTGTTGTACATTTCAGGTTTTTAACGAACTTAAAACCTATTCCCGCAAGGGCCAGAAGAAGAACGCTCGTATGCAGGATCGTAAGGATAATGTCGCCACCGCCGAAATGGGTGTCGATGGTCGTACTCGTTTAATACTCTACAAATTGATTAACAATTTGATTTTGGAACAAATTAATGGCATCATTTCTACCGGCAAGGAAGCTGTTATCTTACATGCAAATTCTGATCCTGCCTTTGTTGGACCAGATCCAGAAAATCCCCTTGTTATGCCCAAGGAGTGCGCTGTGAAAATATTTAAAACCACTCTTAATGATTTCAAGCAGCGTGATAGATACATCAAGGACGATTATCGTTTCAAGGGCCGTTTCAATGTTCGTTTCGGCAAACAGAACAACTTCGTCATCATTAATATGTGGGCCGAAAAGGAAATGCACAATTTAACCCGCATGCAGAGTGTGGGAATCAATTGCCCCGAAGTTGTAATGCTCAAGAAACATGTGCTGGTCATGTCGTTTATCGGTGAAAATAATAAGGCCGCTCCCAAACTTAAAGATGCTATTCTCAGTGCAGCCCAATGGATTGCCGCCTACGATGAGGTGGTAACTGCAATGTACAAGCTATACAATGAGGCTAAATTGGTACATGCCGATTTGAGTGAATACAATATTTTGTGGCACGACGATAAATGCTGGTTTATTGATGTTGCCCAATCGGTGGAACCGCAACATCCCTCAGCACTGGAGTTCCTAATGAGAGATTGTAACAATATTGTCAGTTTCTTTGAGAAGAAGGGTGTTCCCAATTGCCACACCAAGGAGCAGCTATTCGAACACATTACATCCCTCAATGCCGAAACAATTAATGTCGCCATGCTGGAACGTATCCACACCAAAGGTGCCAACATACAACTGGCCACCGCTCCAAATCAAGATGAATGTCCCCTGGAGGCTAAACCATTGGAATATCCATTTGATTTGGCATGGGAAAAAACCATGCAGAATGCCGCCAATGTTGACTGTAAAGTACAAGCTGCATTAGTTGAGAATGCGAAAACTGAATCATCCATGCCACAACCAATTATTGTTAATTCTCTTACTGACACTGCCAACATTTAATTAACACAAGGCATATAACAATTTATCATAAATACACATATTTAAGTAGACTTTTGTGGTATCTTTCTCTGAGAAGATAAAATACTAATTTAAATTATTAAGATTTTAACAAAAACTGTTGTGTGCAGGAAGCGAAACACCCTTTTGACAAAGGTAATAAATGGTAGCTTTAGAAACTCCAAAACAATGTGAAGATCTTTCTAAAAATATTTGGTAAGTAATGTGGTAAATGTCCTATAACTTGGTTTTAATAACCACCAACATAGAAAATTGAGAAAATAGTTTTAGCAACTTCCAGAAATAAGGATTTTATAGCTATTATTGGGATACCTTTTACCGGATTGACCTAATTAGCAGATGCCCCTTATATTTTTATCAAAATCTATAGATAAAAATTTGGAATAAAATTCTTTACATATTGGATAAAAATTCGATATTTTTCAGCGAAAAAATCCTACATTCGATATCGAAAAAATGTTGTTCGCATTTGACTCATTTTGGCGTGAAAAATAATAAAATTTCAATGTATGGAATTGCAAAAAAAGGAGTTTCTTGCAGGCTCCGGAACAGAGCAATAGTCAAGCTAACATGAGAAAACTTGGTCTCAGGCCATCAACATAAAATCCAAAAGAATAGGTTCTACGTAACATTATATCCCTGTATGCGAAAGATTTTGCATCAATGTGAAGTTCTTGGGTTTCAAAAGAACTTAAACTTGTGTTAAAAGAAAATTCCTACTTTTTTGTAAAAGTTTTTATGACGTAGTCCATGTCGGAATCTTTCTGTAAGTAAATATTTCCCGCAAATCAAAACGCTCTAATATTCCAATTGGATATTTTGTCGAGTTCTAACGTCCATATCTCGGAAGGACTCCACTTGAATATCCTTTGTAGCCTCAAATCGTGGAAAGTATAGACTTACACAAGTGAACTCTTATATTGTTGTAAAAAGGACGCCACGGATAATTTATTCTCAAAATGAATCGAAAAGGGCTGTAAACTTGACTTGTTTCCCAATAAATAAATGGAAAATACTTACCTTGATGATGAATTAAATTGACTTTCCTTGTTGCTTGTTCAACCAAAATAACAAAGCGACTATTCACTTGGCGCAATAATTGACAACAATGAAGTTTCTGAACCTTCTTGTCAAGAACATAGAAATGGTAGCCCACTGAAAGTGGTTCACATAACGGATCCTTATCACAATTACTGGGTAACGCACTGCAGTCCACATATATCTGACATCCTAATAATACAAATTCTGTCACAAAAATATTATAGTTTGTTATTGATTTGACATCAATCTCTGATGCTCCAATAAAATTTGTTATTTTCGGAAATTTATTTAAAGAAATATAAATACAAACCTTGTGAAAATGTCAATTTAAATTGTTACGGTACTCCACGAACACGTTACGGTGTCAATAACATAGTTTTTCACGTGTTATCAATATAAAATCATGATTGAAGAGGAAGAAGAAGAAGAAGCAAATCAAGTTCTAGTTTGAATTTCATAAGAGGCATAGACTTTCTGCAATATTTATGTTTAAATTGTGTAGAATTAAGTAATTATTGTGAAAATTTTGTAGAACTTTGTGGGTAAGTCAGTTTTGAAGTTTTTTTTTTTAAATTATTATTATGTAAATATTAGTCTATAAGTACATATTTCCAAGAAAATTTCTGCGTTGCTCAACCGCTATGTTAGGTATGGCGTTACAAGGGTTCAGCAAACACTAATCCAAAAAGACCACAGCAAGACTTCTTGACACTTTTATCATCTATATGATTCCTAGGAAATGTATTAAATATTTGCCACAGGCAAATAACTATATCCATGTATAAATACGTTATTACGGGGGTAAGTCCGTGCTAAACACATTTCTCTACGAGGCACTTTGACATTTTGCGCTCTTAACCATTTTTACTAGAGGTCATTCTTTAGATAAGGTCAGAAGAGTATTTGAATAGTTGATGTCTTCAAACTTTAAACATCTCATTATTTTTGCCAAAATGGGTGGAAAATGGTCCACTTACCTTGATAAATTCTACATAATAAAAACCACATCATTTAGTAAGCGAAGTGTCCGGCACGCGCCACCCAAGAAGGGTTACAAAATGGGGTTCCTCGCTTCATTTCCAGCGCACAATGGCCACCAAAATCTCCGGATACCAATCCGTTGGACTATTGTGTCTGGAGTATTTTGGCAAGATTGGCACTAAAAAATCCCAAAGTGTTGGACACCCTAAGCAAGCGCTTCGCCGGGAATGGGCCAAAATAACGCAGAGCCACATTCGGGCAGAATGCGACGGTTTCATTGGCCGTTCGAAGGCCATAATTCGTGACCAAGGTGACGAATTCGAACAAATGTAAACTTATTCTATAATTTGATGCTATTTCCCATATTTTTTGCAACAAAATTAAAAAAAAATGTAAAAATTAAGGCGTTTGACTTTGATGCAGTTTTTTATCTCACCCTGTATTTAACGTCCAATCAAATAAAAGTGTGTCTTGTTTTTTCTTTCCATTTTTTTGTGTTCTTGTATTGTCTTCTCTTCCGGGTATTATTTGTGTTTCCAATTTTTGAAATCATTATAGACCTTAATATTTTGTGATTAACACAAGTACTCCCAAACCCATTACTAGGAAAACTAAAGAAACTTCTACAATTTAGAATTAGATAGAGATCCGGCATGAACCAAATTCCACTATAGGCCACAGCTAACTTTACTACGTTTACTACTCATCAAGTGTAAAAGAAAAATGACACAACAAAGAGGTTTTTTATTGAATTTGTTTTTCGTTTTTATTTCAAAATAAAAATTAAATAAAATTCTTTTATTCTTCTTTAGATTTTTTGTTTTGTTATGTTTTTAATATTTATCTGTTTTCAGATTTTTCTTCTTCTTGTTGTTGTTTATTTGTTTTTATATTTTTTTGTTTTGTTTTAATAATAATACAACTTAAAATTAAAAAAGATAATAATAATGCTTAACGTGTAAAGATTTTGTTTATTTTTATTCTCATTTATTTCTTAATTTATTTCTTTTTGTTAATAATAATAATAATATTTATATTATTTCTGTATGTATATATATATTTATTATTTGTAAGGTAGTTTTTTTCTCATTTATTAATAGTTATTAACATGCTAATTTGTTGGTTGTATTTTTTTTGCGTTTTTTTTTATTTTTTTCTGGTATGTTTTAAATAGCAATATAATAACGATGTTTATTTTGTTTTACTTTTTTGTAGTTTAATAATATATTACAATTAGGTTTTTTGTTGTGTTTACTTTTAGAATTATAACATACAGTTAATAATATATTATTTACTTTTTTATATTTTATTATAGTTTTTAAAGCTAAATTCTAAGAAATTGGGGAAGGAAGGGGTACTGTACAAAGTTTTTTTATATTTATTTTTAGAATTGTTCATTTTTATAGGACTTAGTAGTAGTATTTATTTTCGCTTTGATTTATATACATTGGGGGTAGGGTATTTAGGAAAATAGTTTTCCCGGAAAGTAGTTTTTATGTTACACAGGAGTTTATGTTTTCTATGTATTTATATAATATTTTGAATTGAAAAAAAAAAAACTATTGTGAGCTCAACAAAACATTGATTGTTTGAGTTTGTCGAAAAGTAGCAGTGACATTTGAAAATATTTAAGTGACAATTAAATTTGCTTTGTGTGTTAAATGTTAAATAAAACGTTCAATTTGTGTAATTAATATTTAACATATTGACTGTGATATCTCGGAGTTAACATCTAATGTATATAATTTCATTCCATTTTCAGTATTTGAAAGTGTTTCATATTTCTTGACATCCCAAATTTTTTGCTAAATTCCTTGCATAGGTTTTTCACTTCACACACCGTGCAACTAAGTTTTCTACTTGTAATACCTTCCATCCCTCTAGATTTTCTACAGTGAATAATGTTATTTTTCCAAGGAGATGGTGAATTCTCACTGACCTAATTGGAATTATAAATAACTTTATACTCTCTTCAGGGTGGCATGTTTGCCTTATTACTTTGAAACAAATCCTGGAATTCTGTTCATAGAACTTTCTCATTAAACAAATATACATTAAAAATTTTCGCTTCTGTGGGAAAAAAATTCCATCCATGGGGAAAGTAGATTGTGGCAAATTCAAGCCCAATAGAATGGGATGGATGTCTTATATGCAGATTATACTCATTTAAAATTGGATGAATATAAATAGTTTTTTCTTTGTTACTCCCACAAGACATCACAGCCAATATGTTATTAACTTAGTTTAAAATTAAATCTTAATTTTAAAATCAGTTTAAAATATTTTAATTACAAAAAATAAATAAATTATAAAACTTGGAGAAAACAAGGGAAATAAAATGTTCCAAAAGCACCGAACCGGATAGATATTCAATCCATTACAATGGAAACGATGATGCTGCTGCGTTAGGTTGCAATTGAAGAAGATTTTCCTTTTATTCTTATTTTTAAATTTGTTTGAGTGTGGCAGTGTCTGTGTGATCTAAATATAAAACGTATTTACATTTGTTTTCTTGAAAGCATTGAATTTATTTTTTGTTTCGGCCATGGAAAAAGATACACCAACAAAAAAATTGTTATTTTAATATGAAACTATTTTCAAGGAAGTTGAGAAAAACTGATTTTAAAATTCACACCAATGAAGAATCTACAGAAAAAGTGGAAGTTTCCCTTTTCTATATCTCTTCGTACTTTTATAGCATGTCTCATTCTTGAGTTAATAATTGATCCTTTTCGGGGTAAAGTGTAACTGCCATCACCATTTTGAAAAACAAAAAATAAAGTAAAGGCTTTCCTCCTCCCAAATGTATTGCGGCAATACATAAATATGGTATATAGAAATTTTCCATTTTTAATAAAAAATTCTAAAAACTTAAAATTAAAAGCTTCTCAGGCGGAAAAATATGGAAAATTCTATAAAACATATGCAATAACAATGCAAAATTAAAATTGAACTTTAAATAACATTTAAACACACTCGTCAAAAAAAAAAAAAAAAAACATTTAAAACAAAAATAAAATAAAAATTTCAAAAAACACTTAAACATTTTCATTTCACTTTGGGACTTGATTCAGAATACATTTAACATAGACACAAAAATTTGGGTTATTTTTATTAACATGTTACGTTATACGGACAGGAGTTACAATATATAATATTTTTTGTTTTTTTATTTTATTTTGAATTTTACTTTTTATTTTTTTCATATGTTGTCGTCGTCATTGAGATCAAAAAATAATAATAATAAATTAATGTATGTAATTGTTTTTGTTTGTATTTTGTTTAACTGTTTTTATTACCTTATTATAATATATTATTAAAATTAGAAAATAAACTAATTACGTAAAAATAACGGTAAATTATAAAAAATAATAAAAATTAAAAAAATACGTAATATATCAAACTATAGTCTATACGTTCATTATTAGAGCAAAAGTTTATATATGATTAACATTAAAAAAATAATTAAATAAAACAAAAATCTTAATAATTTAATATTATGCTTATTTCTTTGCTTCTATTTCTTTCCTTCTTCTTTTTCACAAAAACAAATTCAACATCAACTTATAACAGCTGTTTGTTTGTATTTTTGTTTCCTATACAAAAAGTTTATTATTTATATATATTGTTGTGTGTTTGAAAACCTTACAAAAAAAAATTATATAAGTTATTTATAATTAAAAGAAACACTTAGGATCCAGTATTATTATTTTTTTTATAAATATTATTATATTAGCATTTGTATATATATAGTTCATATTGTATAGTACAAGAGGGTGAAAAGAAGGGAGGGGGAACTGTTTAAATATTATTATCTTTTCGTGTTTTGTTTTTTTTTTTCTTTATACATTTTTTTGTTTTTGTGTTGTGTTTTAAGATATTTATCTTAACCGTTTTTTTTTCTTCTTGTTTTGTTTTTAGTTTCATCGCTAACTAGAGTCTGGTGAATTTGTATTTCTTACGTTTTCTTTTCATTTATATATTTTCTGTGTTAAAAATTTGTAGTTTTTTAATATTCTTATTTTGTTTGTTGCTTCTGTTTGTTTTTTGTTTATATGTTATAAATATTACAATCACTAATAGCATGAAATCACACTATTTGTTGTTTTAAAATAACTTTGCTTTTTTACGTTAAAATTTGGTTTGATCATCATCATCATTTTTCATTGTTATTATTAGTAGTAATAGTAGTTTTATTATCCAACATCATCATCATAATCACGATTTTGGTATTTTTAGAGTGTGGCAGGAAATAAAGTAATATTATTCCTGCCATTTCTTAATCAGTTTAGTTAGTTTGTATTTTTGTGGACGTTTTGTGTGGTGTATTTAGACGGTAGCTATAACTATCAACAGATGAGCGATATCAGCTACACGATTCTTTAGATCTGGTGCTGCCTTCTCTAGATTTTCATTGGCAAAATCACATGAGGGGAATATGTGTACCACATAGGCTGCCTGTTCGCTTCCCGGCATTGGTATATTCACAATTCCGGCAGCCATTTTCTGTTGCAAATAGGTTATAAATCCAGATTGTAGGTTGCGAGATTGTTGCAAGACATCGGCATGATCACGGCCACAGGGCAACGCCAACAGCATACAATGTTCATTTTCAAACTGAAAAAAAAAAAAAAATGGAAAAAAAAATGGAAAAATTAATATTATTCAGTGTACTGGCCTATGGTCTATATGAGGTCGGTCAGTAAGCCCATCTGAAAACTAATTTTGAAGTCAAAAGATTTAATTGTGATTGTGAAACTCAAAGATAAATAAGTCACAAGCTTATAAAAGGTCGGCCAGAAAGATCATCTGACTACTAAAAATTTTATATCAGAAGACATAATTGTGACTACTAAGTTTTGTTCAACTTCAACCAACTTCAGACTGCTGTAATTTATAAGCCACTCGTCCGACAACTGTTAAAATTATTCCATTCATTATATTGTTTACAAGCGTACAAAAGCATTTTGGTGAGAATTTCCCAGAAAAAAACTATTCGTGATGGAATTCAAGCGTGATCGTGTGATTTCTTTATATTTGGCTGGAAACCCACAAGGGGCTATCGTTAGGGCACTACAGCTTTTAAATGTGTTTACATTTTTTGAGTCTCGTATCATCGTGATACTGGTAGCGTAGTCCGATGTCAAGGAAGTGGACGGAAGAAAACAGCAACATCAGCAGAAATGGTTCAAAAGTAAAGAAGCGACTTGATCGAAACACGCGTTGTTGCAGTTTTTTTTTTATCTCACCCTGTATTTTCAAAACATCCATATTTTTTTCTCCCCCAAAATATTTTTTCATATGCCTTTAAGAAAACTAAAAAGGAGAATGTTCCTTGACTTACCTGCATTTTCTTGGCAACTCCCTCCAGTTGTGTCTGTTCCAAACGCATACGCTGTGCTATACGCAATGGTGGTGTACTGCCATCGCTGTTGCACGGCAACGAGGCACGTGCAACATGCGGATTTCCAAAGACAAAATGCATTTGGACTGCAGCTTGATCGGTTTTCAAGGCCAGCAAACCTTGCCACATAACTGGATACCGTTGAAGCAATGTCAGCAGTGAATCTGCTTGAGGTGGTGGTGGAACTTGGCCATGTGCCACGGCTGGATGTGGGGGTAGTTGATGTGTCGATGATGAGGATGCAGCTGTCACTTGCATATTATGGGCATCACCTAAGGAAATAGAGAAAAATTAAAAATTTATTATTTAAATGTAAAAAAATATATATGGGGTCCCAGATTGTATTGGAGCTTTCTATTGCGTTGTCGAAGCACACAAGAACCTTGGGGTTTATTAAACAGTTAATAGGCATAAGCGTGAATAAGTGTTACCGATTTTTGGAAAAAAAAAATGACATATAAAAACTGCGTTTAGTTCTTTATACTATCCACCGTGGGTAAATCTTGATTATGAAAAAATCACATATTTTCAACATTGTTCCCACTGTTGTACCCAAATATAGTTCGAAATTGAGACAGATACTTTCCAAATAAGGAAAATAACGAGGTACCCATATATGGGTACTATTACTAAAACTAGGATCTGCATTGAAAATTCTTTTGCGAGGATTTAATGTATTCGCAGAGAACTAGTATTCTCAAATTATAGCAAAAATTGCTTGGAAATTGAGGCGAAAATCTCAACAATACCAATAATCGGGAGGCGCCGTTATAAGAGGCTATATTCCAGCCGCAAATAATTAAAGAGATTCTATGTAATGACATGATTTGACTGAATTCTTCTATGTAATGGCATGATTTGACTGAGTTCGGACGAAGTCAACATACTTCAGCATTTGAACTAATTCCTTCAATAAAGGCATTTTAGTAAACAAAATGTACAGTACCCCAGCAGCTAAGGTTTGGGGAAGATACCATCTCCAAAATTGCTGTAAAATGTCGTACCAAATGATTCCATAATTCCATTCTTAGAATCCCAAAAACGATTTGAATCTTTTGCATGTTACTATTTTGTAAAACGTATTGGAAGTGTCAAAAGATTAAACATTTATTGGGTATCAATAACCTCAACTGAATAATAACACAATTTTGAAACTCAATCTTTAAATGTTATGCTGATCTTTTTATGGGACCTCTGAGAATATTTCGAGGAGTTATTCGTTTGTGGTTGAATTTTTCAGATTTTTCAGATTTCCACATGTCTTTTATAGGTAATAGGCTTTCAGCCAGTCTGCTTTATTGTTGTTGTATATATGATCAACTTTTTATAGGCTTTCCACAATTAAAAGGCATATAATAAGCCTTCTAGATAGCTATCTTTCATAACTTAATAAGTCTTGATCGTGAATTTGGCTTCATTCCTTGTCGATTTTATCGGGCGCTTGAAAAACAATCATTTTGGAAGCTAACAAAAAAACTGAACACAGGCTGCCTCAAATTCTTTCGCATGTACACTGTATCTTATCCACGTACACAGTTCTCTTGAATCAAATCACTATAATCTTACCTGTCCTAACGAGAATTTGTTCTTTTTCACGCAACAGCTGTTGTTCCCTCTCTCGGTCGCGTTGTTCCCTTTCACGTTCCATTAATTGTTTGGAGTGATGTAGTGCAGCTGAAGTTCCACCAGCAGTTAGTGGTACATTCGTTGCGGGCGGAGCGGAGGGCATAAATGGACTACTACTGCCCGCCGATGGGTGGGGTACAACTACAGTTGGTGGTGGTGCCACCACACTATGAGCCGTTGCTGATCGATGGGCAGGTGGAGGTTCCAAATTCAATTGCCTTGCAGGATCATAATATGCAGATGGTGGCCCACCTGGAGCCCCAGTCGTAGTGGGACGACCAGCTACATCGTAATGTGCATGGGCGGGTAGACGTGCATTATGGACATAAACTTGAGCCACTTGGGGTGAATCTAAGAGAGAGAGAGAAAGAGAGAGGAATGATTTAGTTTCAAATAAAGAGTTTTTAATTAGGCCTTTATCATACCAGTTGCTCTATCCTGAGGACTTTGTAGACTGTGTGGTACAGCCACTGTCCGTGGTACACTGCTAGGTCTTCTCAATTCCAATGGTGGACTGGTGCCCAACAATTGTTCATCATATTCACGCAAAGCGGGCGGATTCAAAGCATCATGCTGGCGCAATATTTGTTGGTATATCATCAAATGTTCCCGCGTGGGAACTGCACGTATTGGTCCACCAGGGAATGTTGCATCATTCTGAAGAGATAGGAAAAAGGTAAGGTTAGATTCTATATTTAAAATAATTTTTGTATACAAATATTTATAAAAACAAAAAAATAATTTGAAAATTAAAAAAAAATTGAATAAATTTGAAAAGTTTACCGGTGTTATAGGAGACGCTTGTTGATGAGCAGGTGGAGGACTATGTGCATTGCGTACAACGCCTTTAGGGGCACTATTATACGTGTTCATATCATGCTGCGTCCATAAGTTTAAATTAGATTGTTTTATGAGTCAAATAATTTGGAATGGAAATTTTTGTGTTATTCAGGATTTACAAAAGAAAACTCCCATATTTTTGGATTGTTTTCTTCTAAGAGATTTTCTAAGTCTGGCTCCCGAATAGCATTTAATTTGCGCTTAAATATTTATTATTAAAAAAAGAATAGCTTACCAGATTTGTTTCAAAGTGTGGTGGCACTTGTATACCACCAGGCATCAATATGGTTCCCATGCGAGCTTGACTTTGTGGACTAATCGTTGGCACTGACGTTCGCAAATTGGCGCCACCTGAAATATAAATTTATAAAATTAAATAAGACATTGTTAAAAATTATTTTCTTTTTTAACTTACCACCAACAACATTTGCTGTTATTGTTGATGTCGACTGAGGGGATGGCTTTCCTCCGGCCTGTTGCTGTTGTTGTTGGGGTGGTGGAGAACCAACGGCACTGAGAACACCACGTGCAACACTTTGACTTTGTAAACTATGAAGCATTGGATTTGTTGGCGGAGCTTTGGACAAATGTGGAACTTGCTGTAAGGGTGGCGATGGAGTATGCTGGGCCGTATGCTGCATATGACTGAGGGCTGCAGATGTTGCAGTCGCCACAGTTGACGATGATGATGGTGCTTGTGTTGGCGGTGCAGATGTCTTGGTTTGTATCACCATGGCAGAATGTTGGGCGAGACCCATTAGTCCCAGTGGCAAAGATGATGCTGAGGTATTTGTTTTCTGTTGGCCAGCCAAGATTTGCTGGTGAGCAGTTGGAAGATGTTGTTGAACTGAAGAAGTTTGGTTTTGTTGCAAATACGGATTAAATGGCTTTACAACCGCCACTGCTGCCTGTTGCATTAGATGCATTGAGGCTGCTGCAGCGGCCGCTGAAGTGGCAACCGCAGAAGGCACCATACCACCGGTAGCAGCAGCACTTTTGTTTGGTGTTGGAGGCGTTGCTTTGGAACTAACCACATGTAAAATTTGCGATGGATGCAACTCGTCACCTTGTTTCATGATGATTGATTGCTGATGACCTGGCTGCTGTGGCATCGTGACCTGTGGTTGATGTTGCATCCTTGGTGAATTCAAATTACTGGCGGCCGTTGCATGTGGTGAATGTTGAGTTGTTGGTGGTGGTATATTCACCAACAGCTGTTGTTTGATTGGACCCATTTGGGCCTGTGGTGGGGTTTGACGTTGTACAATATTTGCTTGTTGTATTACATGGCCAGTAGGAGGAGGAGGTTGTTGTTGTACCACCGTTCCAGATTGTTGATGGACCAGATGATGCGTTTGCTGTTGCTTGGAGGGTGTTTGCGGAGCGTGCAACTGCTGATGGTGATGCTGTTGTTGTTGTTGTTGCTGCTGCTGTTGTTGTCCCCCAACCGAAGCTGACATTTGCAGTTGTTGCTGCTGTTGTTGTAATTTTTGACTATTCAACACATGCGCCTTTAGACTCGTTGGCGGCCTCACATTTGTGTGCTGAGCATGCATCACCAGCGGTGTTTGCTGCTGCATAATGATCGGTTGCTTCGTTGGAGTTGATATGTCAGCCGGTCTGGTTTGTTGCTGGTGGGTCTGAGCTACCACCTGTTGACTGGTAATGTGTGTCGCTGTTGCCGGACTTGATGGAACTGTCGAAGTCTTGACGACAACGCTCACCGAAGACTTATTGAGCAGGGCAGTAGTCACCGATGATGCTGCCGCAGCAGCTGCTGTGGCAGTTTCAGCTTGCACCGGTTTGGTAAGAGCAGTTATTGGTGTCGCCACTGATGCCTGAGACATTGTGGTGGATGGTGTCGAGGACAACGGTTTGTTGCCCATTACACTACTCTCAGATACGGCGGCAGCTGCGGCTACCGCAGCCTGCATCATTTTCTTGGGGTCCAGCGGTGGACGCTGTGGTTGAGCAGCAGCAGTGGCCGACGGCAAATTACCAGCCTTAGCCTGCTGCATTTGCTGCCCGGACACAATGCCAGCAGTGTTTGTGTCTATAACGGGTTTATTAACTGAATCGGCTGCAGCACCACCGGTTGTCTTTTGCGAGGCAGGTGCAGCGGTATTTAGCATTGGAACACCACCACACGATGGGAGAGCTGAATGAATATTTGAAGTATTCACTGTGCCTTGGTTCTGATACGACTCAATTTCGGCAGCGGCCAAAGCCTTCTTTTTGGGATGTTGTGGTATGGTGGAGCTGATGGAGGAGGTAACTGACTGCGGTGCAGAAATATTGGTGTTTGATTGTTGTGCTGCTGCGGAAACTGGCACGGTGGATGATGTCGCCGGTGGTTGTACAACCGATCCACCAACTGCGCTAGTAGGGGGCTGTTGCTTATCCTCCAACGATTGCGTGCCAGATTTTAAAGGATTTTCTGGTGTATCATCCAAATCTACAATTTCATGTACCACACCACTTCCTTTAGATGGCGGCTGTGGTGAAGCAATCGACTGTTCGCTATCCATTTCATTAATGCTTTTACGATCTTTGGATTTTCTTGGTCGACCAATGGCATTGGGAGTAGTAGTGGCTATACCAACAGCTGCTGCTGCCGCTGATTCGCCAACAATTCCAGTCTTAGATTTGGGCTGAGTGGCAGCAGAGGTGCGACCTGATCTTCGCGGCGGTGTTTGGGCACCCTTTGGCAAGGCATTGGAAATCACATTTGCAGCCTGAAGTGGTATGGGCTGTGGATTATTTGTGGACATTGCTGTTGTTGCCGATACTTGTTGTCCAGCACCAGGTGGCACAGCGGTATTTCGCACCACATCTTCAATAATATCATCAATGGTACTGCGATCTTTTTCAAGCAATCTACGAGATTTTCTGGTATTAGCAAGAGAATTCAAATCGCCTTCGGTTTGTGCGGAGTTTGCTCCGCTTGTTGGTGCCGAAGATTGGATTTCTGATTGCTGTTGTGGTTGTTGTTGTTGCGTTGCAGATGTTTCGCTCAATGGAGCCGCCACTGTTGCTGTTGGCGTTGGCTGTTGCTCATTGGCAATTTTCTCGCTGGTCTTGACCACGGGCGTGGGGTTATGTGGACTTTTTATGGTTAAAATCAAACGCGGCCGATTGTCAACACCGCTTACTATGCTGCTAGCCACTGAAGAGCTTGATGGTGCCGCTGATCCGCTGCCTGATTTGCCACTTTCTTCACCAGAATCGTCATGGAATTCATAAACATCGCTTTTATTGTGATGATGAACCTCTGAAAGTGAAGCCAATGTTGCTGCTGCTGATGCAGCTTGACTTCTTGCCTTCTTTTCGGCTGCCGTTAATACCGATGGCCCAGTTACTGAAGAGGAAGCACCAGTGGTACCTGCCACATTTGTAGATGGTACCGTCGAGGGAGTTTGCAACTCTTGTTGTTGTTGCTGCTGTTGCTGTAATAGCAAATTCCTTGGTGGCCTACCTTTGCGACCTCTTGTTGCTGGTGTTGCAGCATTGGGTTTTCTCAAACGTGTTTGAACTCCTGCTGCATTGCCAGATGGTGGTATAATATCTTGCAACTGATTCGCAGCAACGGCAGGTGTAGCATTTGGTATAACAGCTGCTGCCTTTTTGCCACCTCTTGGCTGGCGACCACGTTTAGCTCCGGTACCCCGAGTATTGGGTCTACCTTGTACCGAGATCTGTTCAAATGCTGGCATTTGTTGTGTCTCCGTTTCATCCTCTGTGTCATGATCGGTGTTAACCGTAGTTGCCGATGAGGAATTCGCTGGATTCACATTGTAAGACGCCGTTGATGTAGGTGGCTGTGTCTGAGCCACAGGTTCTGGCACAGTGCTAATTGTGTCCCCTGAATTAGTTTTGGCATGTGGCACATCTGTGGTAGATTTTGTGGGCTGAGTTTGAGGATACTTAGCTGCTGCCTTTGCATCTTCAATTGTTGTTGCAGCAGCGTTTTGCTGTTGTTGTTGCTGTTTGCTTGGGTTAGTGTTGATTGGAAGCGTATTTGTTGAAGGTGTTGCCACAGAGGTTGAGGTCGCCATTGCATTATCATTCTTCTTGATAACGCTGCTGGCAGCCAAACTGCTGGTAGTTGTGGCACCTCCACCACTGTTAGGCTCCACCACATTCAATTCCTTGGCTGACCAATAATCACTATCCTCTTTGGAGTCCTGTTCGATTTCATCGTGTTTGGGTGGCGATATTTTGGTGATATTCTCTTCCGTCAGGGCAGCTGTAGCTGTTATGGGCGAGGCCCTTGTGAGTGAAGTAGCTGGCTCAGCAGCCGATATATTCGCTGGAGCACTGTTATTTGTTGATGACGCCACCACCGGGACAGTAGTCTCCTTATTAACATGTTGTGTAGGTGGGGCCACAATTGTTGATGTGGTTGTTGCTGCCGTTGTCGTGACAGTTGATGCCACAATATTTGTGGGAGTTGGAGTCCTGATTACTGAAACATTTTCAACATGTTTTGGTTGAGTAGCGGCGACTCCGTTATTATCACCAGTTGTTGCTGCTGTTGTTTGTCCAGCAACTGTGGGAGCAGATGTTTGTGGTGTTGAGACGATAATACGAGACACTGTTTCGGTTAGGCCAACAGGGGTTGCAGTCGATGTTTCTTGTTGTGCTCCAGTTGGAACTGGTGAACGTTGTTGTCCTGCCATACTGGGAGACTGTTGCAAGGACTGCAGATGCAGTTGCTGTGGCGATTTTCCAAACACAACATTGGATTGTTGGTGTTGCTGCTGCATGGTGGGTGAAGATCTTTGCTGTTGTTGCATGGCAATATTCTGTTGTTGCTGCGATTGCGGCGTCTGCAAATGGGGAATCCCCACAATATGTTGCTGCACCAAAAATCGTTGCGGTGTTGTTGGTGTTTGTATAACATTTTGCTGCGGCTGTTGATTGCTTGCATGTGCCGTTGGCTGCGTACTGCTGGATGAAGCATGCGGCGACTGGGGTGATGCAGACGATGGATGTAGCTGCTGATATTGGGACTTTATTTGATGTGATTGCAACTGATGCATTGTTGGCTGCTGTGGAGCCTGGGTGTGTTGGAGATGCTGATGTTGCTGAGGCGGCATCAGTTGTTGAGGCGAATTCATTGGCCCGCGTTGTTGCTGTTGATTGGCAACATATTGTTGTTGCTGCTGCTGCTGCTGCTGCATTTTTTGTTGTTGCTGTTGTTGATGGAACATTTGTTGATGCTGCATTTGCATTATGTGCTGATGCATTTGTTGTCGCTGTTGTTGGTGATGTTGCTGTTGTTGCCTTTGTTGTTGTATCATTTGTATTTGTGCTTGGACGCTCTGCTGTTGTTGTTGCTGCACCGAAATATTACCCATTTGCTGTATAATTTGTGGAGAGTGCCTCGAGCTGGGAGATGGCGGAGAATAAACCGCTGCAGATTTTGGTGAGTTCTGTTGATTTTGTAGACCACCAGGACTGTGAGGCGGCATTGTGGATTGCTGAGCCTGCTGTGGCGTGACCGTCACCACCTTGCTGATTATTGTCGGATGCGAAGGAACAGGTGGCATTTTTTGTACCGATATTGGTAAAATGTGCTGTCCTATGGGATGTGAATGTTGTTGCTGGTGTTGTTCAATGGCAGGCTTTCCACCCGTCGCCACCTGTTGTTGCTGTCCAGCGTGGGGTGAACATTGTTGAGGATTTTGGGCATTTTGAGGTGGCGGTATGCGTATGCTCACCACATTCGCCGTTTGCATTGGCGGCGTGGAATAGTTGTTAATCTTGATCATATGTTGCTCTGGTGCACCACCGCTCGGCGAACTGTGCGGAGGCATTTTCTGCAATGTGGATGTTAACAGGTGTTGTTGTTGTTGCTGCTGCCGTGGGGATTGTGTTGAGTTGGGACTGGCCATGGGGCTATTCATTGCCACCGCCGACTGTGTTCCCACCATCAACTGAGAGTTGTTCGGAGACATCTGAGATTGTTGCTGATGCACTGAACCACCTCCCCTTTGGATTAAAATGTTTTGTTGTGATGCCATTGAAATTGTAACTGGAGGTGGTGGTGTGGGCGTATGGGGACTTTGCTGCCTTGGCGTTGGTGTGTTACCACGCGAGGTATTACGCGGACTATGGGGTGATTGGGCTCGCATGCCCATTATATAAGCCGTACTAAGTGGTGACTGTGGCGGCATTTGAATTCCCGAAGATTGTGGTGAATGAATGGCCGTCGATGATGTCAAGGACAATGATGAAGAAGAGGCGGACGAATCATGGACATTTGTGGCTGTTACCACTCCATGTGGTGACAACACCATTTGCGGCACTACAAAATGTGGTGTCGGATCGGGAATGCTAATGGTGGGAGGTTGCATAACATAAGCCATTGTAGCCGGGGTCATGGTGGTTGTCTGGGGCAAAGACAACGGCTTAATGATTGTTGCCTGATGGGGAGATTGGAGAGCTTGTTGTTGTTTGGGTGTTGAAGATGTTGTCGCCGATGGGGCAAATGTTATGGATGTCTTTGTGGGTGTAGATGTGCAAGAGATTGTGGTCGCTGGACCGGATGTCATCGATGATGTAGAAGATGAAGAAGTCATTAATGCAGACGCACCCACCGAGCTAACAACAACAGAGGTGATTGTCTCATTCGTCGTTGCTGGTATAACAGACTGCACTGGTTGCACAGCTGGCTGATCTTGTTTCGAAATGGTTGGTGGTTCCAATTTTGGTTCCCCGGAAACTTGTGCCACATTGCCAGCAGTCGATTCCATCTTTGTTATAACAGAAGATTGTTGTTGTTGTTGCATTGTTTTGGCTTCTGTTGCCCTCTCGCTCATTTGTTGATTGTCCCCTTGGGTATCGGACAATATAGAGGTGGTATTGTTTTGAGCCTTCTCTGATAGCGAGCTACTATTATTGGATTGGGCCGTCTCATCGATTTTCAAACTATGACTACCACTGCTGTCAGCCTCGTCGGCATTCTCCTCGGTATCTGTGTCGATTTGAAGATCACGTACAGACTGTGGTGTATCTGCCGATTTGAGTTCCAACTCTTCCTGGCGCAGGCTTTGTATAGCTTTGCACACCTCTTCGGCATCGGTGTCTTCAACGACCACATCTGTGACGGGATTACTTTCCACCTCACACTCGATGGCTTTGGCGGCAAGGGCTGCTTCTTCGTCGGGCTCGGCCGGTGTCATCATGACCGGTTCGGGCTCTGCACTTACACTATTTAAGTCGTCCAAAGGTACATCGTCGTCAAACGAATAGTCAGCCGAAGAATTTCCAAAGCTTTCACCCAACAGAGCAGAAACAGCACTTTCCGTCTCCTCCTGTGATATGGTGACACGTGATTTCGACTCTTCCAGTTTTTCCAATTTAGAGGCGTCTGGCGGAGATTCCACAGGTATTTTTGGCTCATCAGCCGTGGGATCTAGAGGCGGATTAAACTCGGCCGATATGGATTGCACTGCAGATTCGCTTATCTTTTCATCGATTTCCCCATCAAAGCCGGGTATGAAGATGTCTGGTTTTTTCTTCTGTGTTGGGGGCAACGAGGTGAGCGATGATGTTGTGGTGGGAGAGACCATTGCATTCGATGTTGTTGATGTTGTGGAAGAGGTAGTGGAATCAGTTGATTTATTCAAAGTGCTCGTCGTGGTAGCACCAGCAGCAGCAGCATTGGCTGCGGCATTTCCGACTGTGGAAGACGTTGGTGTTGTGCTGATGGCGTTAGTATTGTGAGTACTGCTGTCCATTGTAGATGAGGTAGGAGTTGTTGGTGTTAATTTTTTCATATTCTCCATTGAATTAAGGCCACTAGTATTGCTTATCGTTGGAGTTTTTGGTATGGGGCTAATCATTTGTTTATCACCTCTCATGTGGGGAGAAAGCGAAAGTAAATCCTTTGATGAAGATCGATGTGGTGTAGTGCAAGCAGTTGCACAAGTCAATGACGTGTTGGGTGTTGTCTTCACCGGTGGTTGGGTGGTGGTGCTTGGCAGAATCTCCTCGTCATCATCACCGATCAGACACGGCAAACTGGGTGATGGTTTACACAGGGGCGAGGTCTTGGTGGTGGAGGACTGTTCGCCATGCTCCTCGTTTGCCAATTTCTGGGCATTTTTATTGGCTGCTGCAATATCTATGGTTAATTTTGCGGTGCTTGCGGATTGGGATGCATTCGTGGCATGTTGAGATGCATTCGAAGATGAAGATTCTCTTCTTTGTTGATGATGTAGCTGTTTCTCTTCTTTGGAACGTTTCTTCTTTTTCTTCTTGGTTTTCATGCCACTGTTCAGGCTAATGTTCGTAGCATGTTCCTTCTCCGCCATGCCGCCGCTCACATCTCGATTCTCATGTTTACTGGTTGGAGCTGAACTTCCCGTTACCTCTAATGAGTTTTCGTCTCCATCAGAGAAACGGAACACGTCGGTCATATCACTGCGATAAGTTGTAGCCGTTGAAGGAGTTGCATCCTCGGTAGCTTTATTATCCGAATCTTCCATAAGTTGGGCTTCGAGAGCACGTCCTGCTGCATCTAAATCAACGCTATTTTCATCCTCCAAAGGTTTGGCGGGAGTTGTTGTGCTACTAACTGCTGCAGGTGATGGCATAAATTGTGCTGCGGTTGCAACCACCGTCATACTCTGATCCAGGCCAGAGCCCCGTGATTTCTCGCGATCCTTACGCTTCTTCTCTCTCTTCTCTTTGCGATGCTGTCGTTCAACAGATCTTTCGATGTGAGATGGCGGACCGCTTAATGAGGGACATTTTTGCTTGTTCTCCTCGTTTTCTTCCACGGTATGTGATTTCGGTGTCAGGGGTTCTTGTTTGTAGGGATTCAAGGCTGCGGAAACAATGGGTCCTGTCACATTGGCTGTCAAGGCATTGCGATTTGGAAGACAATTCAAATCTCTACCAGCGCCAATGTCACTGTCCGTCATTTCTTCTTCCTCGTCGGATATGGGACCGAAAATGTCTTCCATTTTCTCGCCACTTCTCTGTTTTTGTTGAGATGTGGTAAAGCCATCACTACAGCCACCGCCACTGGTGGGCGAGGAAGCTGAGCCCGGAATTTGCAAACTCATTCCCGAACTTTGGCTTGCTAATTGTCGAATCATATCTAAACTCTTGGATTTCTTGGACTTCTTGAGGCGATGATGCTTTTCCTTTTCATAAAGCTTGTCCATTTCAATGCCTTGGCCACCAATATCGGCACTCATGTGACGTAATTTTTCCCTCTTCTTTTCCTTTCTGTCCTTGTGACGCTTCTTTTCACCAACTGTCGCCACATGTGAATCTGTCATTAGAATGTGAGGATTTAATGGCTCTGAGTTCTTTAGCTCATCAAATGGATCGTAGTTAGGTGATGTTGGCAAATGTTTAACCACATTTTGGGGACTAACATTCTTTGCATTGGATTTAGTTGTTGTCGTTGTCGTGGTGGTGTCAAGTCCGCCATCACTGCAGACGCCAGCAACTGTTGATGTGCCTGAACTTTTCTGCATATCAACGGATGACAGTGATTCCTTTGCCGTTGACACAACCAATCCCACGCCGTCCTGTGTTGGTGTCTTCTGGCGTTTTTTGCTCTTTTTGTGCTTTTTAATTTTGCCATGATCCGATTTTTGGAATTTGTCTTCAGACGACTCAACATAATCGTCACCATAAAAGTCCTTATATTCCTTTTTGATCTCATTCACTGTTAGGACATTCGATTCACTCTTTATTGTGGCCAACATTGATGTCTCAGCCTCACTTGTATTGGAATGAAGTAAATTCAGATGTTTCGGTTTTATGTCATCGAAATCCGACGATTCAATGGCACTGGCATGGGCAGATGTTTCCATGTTCTCAACTTCTTCCTTCTTTATTTTGTATTTCATTTGTTTTAGAATCGGTGTTGAGGTGCCATCATCGTTAGATGTTTCAATGGGTTCCTGTTTCAGTTTGATATCACATGGCGGCTGAGACTGAGATTCTGAATCCGATGCTATGCGCGATGTGTGGTGGAGTAAACGTTTACTGCCGCCACTTGTACTGTTGCGGCGTATCAGATCATCATCGGAACTGTCATCAACAGCGCACAATCTGCGGATGTTGTCTTGCAACTTTAGGCCTCTTTGTATTTCCGAATCATCCGAGTCCGAGCAGAGGCGATTGGGTTGCGTGGATGCGGCTGATGATGATGCCTGGGAATTTCGTCTTCTCTCTTCACAGGGAGACTTTTGGCCATCGCGTTGATCCTGATCATCATCGCTTGAGGTTAACGCCCCGCTAAGCATTTTATATGAACTGCCACCGCCACCACTGCGATTATGATGACTACCGCTGCGGTGATGGTGTGACGACATATCTCCCGAATTATCAAAGTCTGAATCGGAATCTCCGTCATAGCTTGTTGAGCGTTTCTTCTCCTCCCTCTTGGCCCTGGATTGTTTCAGTTGACAGAATTTGGCTTTGATCTTTTTCTCTTCTTCCTGCTTCTGCATATTCTTGCAGGATCTAGCTTTAACCTTGTCATACATGGAAACATATGGCCCCTCATCGGGTATATCAAATATTGAATGCTTTCTGTTCATTGAATCTGAATCGTCGTCATCATCGTCACAACCTAAACCACCGCCGCCGCCATCCGTATCTTCAGCAGAGCTAAGAAGAATTTTCCGTGACCCAGATTGGGGTGTGCTCTTATTGTAGGCGGAAGATTGACGACTTGAAGGTGTCTGTGGTGGTTCCTCCGAACCGCGTGAGTGTTTCCGCTCAGTGACATGTTCACTTTTGTGAGATGGTTTTGTTTGAGTTTCCATTGAATTTCCACTGTTATTCGACGATGTTCGTTTTGGCGCGACCGATTCAACTGATGAAGAGATGTGTTCGTCATCTGTTGCCGCCACATTGCTAATATTGGCTGACACTGGAAATTGGCCGGTGGATGCTGTGGGTGCCTCATTTGTTGCAGCTGGTGTGGCATCTGCAATAACAGGTGTGGAATGCCGTTTCTTTTCTCGATGGTGTTCACGATCTCGTTTACCACTTTTGTGGCGACTGTGGTGGCTTCCACCACTACCATGCTCTTTGTGTTTGTGACCACCACCACCGCCACTCCCAGAAACTGGTTTATTTGTAGAACTGTGTTGATGGTGACTTGTTTCTTCATCCTCAGAGGAGATTGATTTCGTCTTAGTAGTTTCCACTTCGTGGTCAGAATTGTTTGGTTCATTTTCGATTTTAACTGTTGCAACTTTATCGCCACCCTCCGATTTTATGGCATTTGTTGTCACTTCTGTCGATTCTCCAGAAAGTGTATTACTACTTTGTTGCTCAGTTTGTGATGACGATTGTTGTTGTTGCTGTTTTTGATGATGATGTTTGTTGCGATGATGTTTTGCATTGTGTTCCTTTTCCGAGGAAGTAGCCAAATTGATTCGGTGGCTCGATGATGATGACGATGACAAACGACTGTGTTTGTTATTTCTATCTTTGCTGTGGTGTTGTTGTTCCTTTGATTCCCGCTTCTCGTTCAACACGGCATTACTTGCGTGATTATTAGCAACATGGGACGAAGGAGTCGAGTGTGTATCAATACGCATGCGCTTGGCGTCTTCTGCATGGGCTTCGGCAGATTCGGCGTTACCACCACTGTTGCTGGCATTGCTATCCTGGCTGCTAAGTCTACGTTTCGGGTGCCGCACTGGCGATGTATTTCGCGATGTTTTGCGATTTTTATGTTTTCCACTGCTAGCTCCCGATGCAGATTCAGCCGTAGTAGCAGCAAATTCACCAGTTGTGGAGCTCTCTTTAGGCTTCTCTGATTCACCATGTCGAATGTGATCCCCAGTTTGATTGGAAGTTGTACCACCGCTGGAGGATAGATCATTACTAGCATTGCCGCCCTTTGTTTGCTGTTCCTGTTGAAGAACGGAAGACGGGTTTTCTTTTCTGCGATGATTTTCCTTGGAGCTGTGAAGTTCGCGCTTTTCATTAGCGATTTCTTCGTGCAGTTTACGTTCACGTTCTTTTTCCTCTCGTGAACGCTGCCTTTCAAGCCTCTCTTTTTCACGCAGTTCACTTTCTTCACGCTCTTTTCTTTCTTTTCGCAGTCTCTCTTCTTGTTCTTCACGTTTACGTCTTTCGTTTTCTTCGCGTTCCTTCCGCTCCAGCTCTTCTCGCTCCTTTCGTTCGCGTTCCTCACGCTCTTTGCGTTCCCTTTCTTCGCGTTCTTTTTTCTCGCGCTCTCTTTGTTGCTGTTGTTCTTTTAGTTTGCGCTCGTTCTCTTCGCGCTCTTTCCGTTCACGTTCTTCGCGCGCCTTTTCCTCCTCTTTGCGTAAACGTTCCTTTTCTCGTTGCACACGCTCCTGTTCTTCCTGCTCCAAACGTTCTTTTTCCAATCGCTCTCTTTCAAGGCGTTCCTTTTCAAGTCTTTCTCGCTCTTCCCTTTCGCGTTCTTCTCGTTCACGTTCTTCCCTTTCTTGTTGCTTTCTCAATTCTTTTTCGCGTTTTTCTTGGCGTTCCTTCTGCTTTTCCGAACGGCTGGAGGATTCACGTTCTTTGCGGTGTTCGACGAAATCTCTTTCGTCCGCATCACTTGACTCTGCCGCCGAAACTTGTGAGATTTGGGATTGAGATGAGTTGGAATTTTTCCGTTTATCGCTTTTGGATGATTTCTTTTCATCGCTGCTGCGATGATTATGTTTGTGCGATTTATTGTTGTCACTACGCTTACTACCACCACCTGCAGTTTCGGATATTGTGGAAACTGAAGTGGGGTTACTTGCTGTTGTTGTTTTCGTTTCAGTGGAGGAACTGTTACCGGTTTGCATTTTCAGCTGCTGCTTTTGTTCTACAGAAACTGTAGCTGCTGTTGTTTTTATGGTTCCCACATTTGTACTGCCAGGAACTGATACTGATTTTGTGAGGGTACGAGGCGACTCCGAGGGAGCTGATGTCGGTGCGGGTCCAACGGCTGTTGGTACACTCAAGCTTTTCGATAGAGTTGATGTCTTTGGCTTTGAAGTAACATTCACCGTGTGTTGCGGCGCTGTAGGTGTCGTCAACGAGGCTGCAGTCACTGGCGGAGGTTGAGGTGGTTGATGGACTTCCATAGGAGGCAGGGGAGGTGGTTTTGACATTTCTGCAGGCGGAGGTGGTATTGGTTGATTGTTTGGCGAAGGAGCTGCAGTGTTTGGCAATGGTGGATGTGTTGGGAATGGATATTGCAAACATTTGCTGCCGCTCGACGCCGTTGTTGGAGCTGGTGGAGTACCAGCTCCCGTTGCACAACCAGAGGAAACAGGAGAAGGCGAAGCCATTGTATTTCCACTGCTACATGTCGCTGTCGTTTTTGCTCCTGTCTGTAGACTGGACAGAGTGGATGAACTATTAACAGATGGAGACATGGATGGACTGTTGTACGGTGACATCGACGCCTGAGGTGAGTTCATGGGCGACAGGCTAGTTAAACGCTGTAATAGGGCACCAGATGTTTTGTTCGTGGTATTCCCCGCCGATGCCATGGGCAACGTGTTTCCAACTACCGGCGTCTTTGTGGCCTGTAAATTTGGCAGTCCCGGCGAAGTACAAACACCTACGGCATTCTTCGCCATTTGAGAAGAATCAGTCGATGGTTCATACCAATGATTTTTCTTTAAACGCTGCAGATCATCATCAAATATCGATTTTTTCGCCAAAACCGATTTGACAATCTCCGACGGTTGTATCTCCTTGACATCAATATCGAGGAATTTGTGACGACTGGCGGGTGTTGAAGGCGTTCCACTGCTCTGCCGTACATCACCCGTAGATGATGATGTGACGGCCGACGTTGCCGCTGTGGTTGCCGAATGATGCAGGTCGGTTTGTGAAGAAGAACGATGATGTTGCCAGGTCGGTGGTGTATTACTGAAATCGTGGCGTTTGGCCACATTTGACGCTGCAGCAGTGGTTGAACTACCGCCGCCCGACCAACGCTCGTACATCTCGTCCAAAGTACGTATACGTTCTTCCAATGAAGGGCTACCGCTTGCTTGGCCAGTTACATCAGAATCACTGGAATTCGAGCTGAGAGAACGTGATCTCATCGGACTAACCATTGATGATGACGACGAGGGTGTAGCGCCACCACCATGATGCCCACCGCTACCGTGATGATGGTGATGATGAGTATGTGGCCGCCAGGGCTGATATCGTGACGATGGACTGGGCAAATAACATCCGCCACCAGATGATGATGATGTTGTCTGTAATCCAGGCGTTGTTGTGGTTGTTGCTGAGGATGTCGCCGATGTTATAGAACTATGACTAGAATGATTACTGTTAATTCCTCCTTCGCCGCTTCCAACTCCACGATTCGATAAGCTGTTTGACAGCATGTGCGAACTACCGGAGTTGGTGCTACCAACTGCAGCAGAAGCAGTTGAAGAACTTGCAAAACCACTACTGCTGTGATGATGATGATAGGATGTCGTCGCACCCATATTCGAAGACGAGCCATTGTTGCTACGATATTGTTGAAAGAACAGAATGCCAAATTTGGGCAATGGCAGTACCATCGGCTCTCGTGGTCGTTCACGTGGTACTCTACGCGGTTCACTAGGTAAAACTTCTGGCCTTTCGTCGCACAACGGTGTACCAGGTCGTGAACCATCAGCACTTTCACCGCCGCTAGCCTCGTGTGAGTGATGGGAATGTAATTGATGACCACGACCTCGAGAGGCATGATGATGGAAATCATCACCACTGCCGAACGACGACGACGCCAAGTTTGCGTTACCACTGGAGGAGCCCGATGAAATTAATGCGGCATTTGTACTCAGAGCACTACTGCTTCCACTACTTCCAATCACCCGTCTTCTTTTACATGCCAGAGAAGATGATGATGACGATGACTGATGTGGTGGCGGGTGATGGTCACTATTTGAACTGCTTGTACTACCATGCCGTGTGGATAAATTGCCACTGCCACCTCCTATGCTGGAACTTGCACCCACACCTCCACCACCACCTCCGGTCGCCATATAATCAATGGACGGTCGGCGACTCAACTGATGTTGCTGTTGATGATGGTGGTGATGAGGATTTATTGAATGATGCGAGTGGTGGTGATGATTTGCTTGTTGTTGGTATTTGTTGAGACTGTTACTGCATTCCGATAGTCTTCTTACTTCACCCTTGCGATGCAACGAATCATTTAGAAGATAATCACAGTTTGAGTTTTTGTTTTGTTGTTGTGTTTGTTCTTCCAACGAATGAGACTGTGACTATAAAATGAAAGATATTAAATCATTAGAATTTTTGTAAGGAAACGCTTTAAAAGAAATATTTAATACATACCAATCCACTGCTGGAATTAATGGAATGATGATCAATTTTTATACGCTTGCGCGGGCTTACTATGCTTTCATCTCCACTGGACGGGTACTCTTCGAGCTGTTCCAACAAAACTGCACGTTCTTTTTGAAACAATCGTACATCACCTGAGGAGAAGGAAAATAGGTTTTAATAAAATTTTCCAAAAAACCTACAATTTTATATTGAAACAAACCTTTTTGTTTTGCAGGACTTTTATCACAACGTCGACGACTTAAAGCCATCTCCAACATATCACTATTGGACTCTTTACCACTACTGTTGTTTACAATAGGACCCAGCCGTGATAACAATGGTGAATCAGACCTTAAACCGATCCCACTGTAAGAGTTCGCATTGGATGATGATGTCGGGTGATTTGACATGATTGCATCTTCGTCGTGCGAAGCTCCTGATCCCTGACTATATTCGTCATATGATCGAAATCTTCGGGTATCGATATAATCGTAGTCCATTGTGTGACGGGAACTGCGAGATCCCCGACTACGAGCTGGCGTGGTGTTACCTGAAGCTTGTCCCACAACAGATGGTAAGGTGGTACCACTTGGATTGGAATTTATGGACGAACCGGCAACAATTGCTGATGACAGTGTAGGCGCTGAGGGTGGTATGCCAGCACTACTACTGCTGCTACTGCCAGGCGTATTGCTGGGGGAACAGCCATCATTCGAATTCTGATGTCGGCTGAATGATGAAGCGCGGGAACGTGACTGTGATTCGTAGCGGCTAAAACGAGATCCTGGAATGACATGACAAAAAAACGTTTAATAAATTAGCAGATCTTTTTAACCCTCTTAAAGTCCAATAAAATATTCTTTAAAACTTCCAAAATAGATGTTTTATAAGGCCATGGGAAATATTCAACCAACATTTAAAAATTCATCAAAAATAAACGTACCTGCAGCTTGCTTTTCCAATTTTTCATAAAATGCATCCTGACATTCTCTGGAAGCAAAGTCCACCTGCAACTTTCGGCCTCGCAGTGTTGCTCCTCTCATCTCTTTTACTGCTGTCTGTGCATATTGTATTTGCTCGTATAACACCAAAGCCAGTTGCCTTTGCCGGTCTATCACCACCTTACTGACCGCACCATATCTCGAAAATTGAGATTGCAAATGCGACTCAGAGATTTTCTCGCCAATACCATCGATCCAAACACAATTTGTAGGCATTGATTTGCCAAAGCCCAACTTTATGCGATTGTTACCCAAATGTTCGCCATCCATTTTGCGCATGGCTTTGACCACAGATACAATATCGGAATACTGACAGAATGCATAGGCGGACATGCCTTGCTTTTTAATGTCGATTTCTATGATTTCGCCGAAGCACTCAAAGTGCAGCCTCAGTTCACTGGCGGTAATTTCCTTTTCCAGATTGCCAATGAATAGGGTACGTGTAGATTTTGGATGGTACTCGTCCAATTCGGCTTCGTAGGGACGAAATTCGTTATCCTCCACATCGTAACCCTGATACGGTTCTACCTCGATCTTACATCCAAAAAATAACTTGTCATGAGAAACCTCAAGAGCTTTTTCCACATCTTCAGGTTTCTTAAAACAAACTAGAGCATAGCGTTCAGCATTTTGCCCCACCACCTTTACCCATGTAACTTTGCCATGCTTTTTGTACTCATGGAAAAGACCGTCCTTTAGTGATGTGTCTGAAGAGCGAGCCGGCAAGTTTCGCACACGTATCGCCAATGGCCGATTGTCTTCGGAATGTACAACGGGATTTGTAGATGGCGTTCCCGAACCAGTAGAACTCGAACTGCTGCTACTACTGCTGCAGGCATTTGAGCCACTGGGATTCAAAGCCGACGATGTTCCCGGCACCGCCACGGCAGATTGAAGGCTTCGTGACCCTCCTCGCCCCGCCGGAGCTGTAGACGTACTTGTCTCGACATCTCGACCACCCACCGGACTTGAGGCATGAGAGTGTGACGAGGCAGTGGATGAGGACGACGAGGAAGAACTATGTGAAGAACTGTAGCTACTCGGCGATCGGGAATGCGAACGACTTGACGATGTGGTACTGCGCCCGTGCAGATGCGCATGGACCGCTGCACGAGATGTGTGATGCGAGGCGGATGTTGAAGGATTGTTGGAAGTGGAGGAGGAGTTGGCATTCGACGATGTAGAATTTGAATGTACATTATTGCTGCTGCTACTGCTACCTTTGTGATTGTGGTGGCCATCTGTTGATGAACTGCCATTAGAGGCGGCTGCCGCCAACGCAGCGGCATTTAGAATCCCGCTAACGTTTCTACTACTGTCTCCTGCATTTGCTGCTGCAGTCGACGATGATGACGACGACGACGTTAGTAAACTATTATTATGATTATTTGTATTACTACTATTGATTGTACTACTAATGCTACTACAACTACTATTATTTGCCGTTTGGTTGTTGTTATTGTTGTTGGCCGATGCTGCTGCTGTTGATGATGATGACGACGAAGAATTTGAGGTGGTATTAGCGGCGGAAGCGGCAGATGTCGAGGATGAAGTCATTGTTGATGATGCCACCACTCCTGCCGTTGCCGCTGATGATGTTGGTGACGCTGAACCACTGCGTGATGATGAGGAGCAGGACTTTAAAAGTTTATGTTTATTTTTATTTAACAACGGATTTCCGTCTGTGCCGGAGTCGTTGTCTCTCTGTTGATGATGATAGTAGCCACCACTGTGTCCTGCAGCACTTGATGCGTTGCCGTACGACGCTGAATTGTTTCGTGGTGTATTGAAGGCTGCAGTTGTCGACGACGACGATGCTGTCGTCGCTGTTGACGATAAACTTGAATTGCTGTTGTTCTTGTGGGCAGGTGAAGAAACGTATGAATATGCGTTGTATGCAGTGGGATTGTTTGTAGAGGAATTTGCTGTAGACACTTGTGTTGCTGTTGCTGCTTGCGTATCTGTTGAGGCGGCAGTTTGATAATGGTTGTTGATATTTGCTGCTGAGACGTCGGCATTGCCACTGCCACCAGGACCGTTTGTATACGTCGCAGCAGCTTCGTACCATGACGCAGGCGGAACACGATTGTTATTGTTGTGTTTGCTTGCAGCGCCACCACTTGAGCTTCTGGAATACACATTAAATTAGATGTTGTAAGAATTTTTGTTTCTATTTTCAGAACTTTATTTAAGGTTTTGTGTTATTATTAATTGTTAAACAATTAAAAATTTTCTGTGCAATATAGAGTGATATGGTATTTGAGAGCTAATAGATACATTTCCACTACAAGATTCTCACTTACCGTTCACTCAATATAGTCGTTGCTGCAGACGAACTGGATGATGACAAACCACCACTTGTAGCATAAGGACCATTTCTGTATACTCTGTCTCTTGTTCGGCTTCTGCTGTTGTCTAAATTGGATGTTGAATTACTACTGCTTTGATAATTACTAATTGTATTATTGCTATTGGAACGTCTTAAATAGGAATCGGTGTCAGCAACTAAACGGGAGTTACGTTCATAATAGCCACTGTTCCGTTCTGAAAAGTTCGGTGGTGATACGTCTTCTGTAGACCTGGTAAAAGTAAAGTAAATGAAGGGTTGTATGTTTTTAAAACTTGAAGATATTTCTTAATTATTTTTTATTACATAGTGTTTTTGCACAATTGAAATTCTTATTATGTGTGTAAAAGAAAACTGTAAAATATATAAACAAAGTGACATTTGTTAAAACATTTTGACAGTTAAGTTGATCGGTTAAGTAATGAAGTGTTGCCATTAAGAAATAAAATAAAAATCGCCATGTTTTTTTGGAGATGCTGTTATTGTTTGACTGTTGATGTCTTTATAGTATTAGTTGAAAATAATATTTTTCCATTCCTAAAAGTTATTTCTTATAAAGCAAACAATGATTGGTATTATTGATATATCACAAAAGACACGAAATGCAAGAACTTTCATTCGAATATACGGAGTTTTGAGTCATGATAGCTCAATTTAATTAGGAAAATATTTTTACAATAAGTTGTTTGTATTTATTATTTTTAATAGTATTGAATACATATTAAAACATATGTTGCACTTTTTTTCTTGTTTTTTTTTATTTTATTTTATGCACAAAACAATAACACTGTAAAACGTAAACGTACTATAAATCTATTTTTTAATTTCTTTTAATACAAACATTTTGTAATATTTTCGGAGACATTACAAAACTATTTGATAATCTTATTTTGTATTTTAATTTTTGAATCAAATCGAGTTAGCGTTGTTTTTAAATTTCCTCTTTTTTATTCTTATACACATGTAAAATCTTTATTTTTCCTTTATTGGTACAGGCAACAGCAATGATTCGATTTTTTAAAACACAGGAAACGATTCCTTCTGTTATTTGGCCAATATTAAATTTGTAATTACTTTAATTTTGTGCATTGAAATTAAAAAGAGAAGTATTAAAATTATAAAAATAAATTTTAGGCACATGTTGGTAATTTTCCTTTTAATTTGCTGATGTTATCGTATCCATTTACACGCTTCTATTGAGTTGTTTATTATTTGGTTTCGCCTCGCGTTCACATTTTTCCGAAGCTGATATAGCAGAACATATTGTATTGTAGAACATGGTATTTTTGTAGTAAACTTAAAATTTTCTAATACTTCACCAGAAATTAATATTTATTTTTAACTATTTTGACACATCCAAATTAAAGCAGACTTGTATTAATAACAATTTGATGTTGAGATATCCAAATTTACATATTTTCATTCAAAACACTCTGGATATTTTATAAAGCATTTTGTGAAAATATACCTTTTTTTAAAAAATATGTAACTTTATAGTTTTTTTTTTTTTAAGATATATTTATTTTACGATATGTTTTATACATTAATTTGGTAATATTCACTAATTGTAACCATTTTTTATTTATATTAAATGCCAAAAATCTGTTGTAACCATTTTTCCACAATTCATTCGTGTCATACAAACTTAAACGCCGGCTTAACTGCAAGCATTGACAACACTGATATATTTTTATGTTTCTTCTTTATCCCATTCTTTTCTTTACTTTGCGCCACTAAATTTCTTTAACGCACACCATGTTGTTTTTTCATCAAATTCATTTGGAAATTAAATCAATTTATCAAATATTCCAATCACTATATACTTTACACTTTACCTATGCATAATTTATTAACAAATAATTCTTTAACATTTAGCTTGTTATATTTTTCTTGCGTTTATTAATATAGTTTCACATTAAAATAAACAAGCCCATTCGTGGAGAGCAACACACCGAAGAAAAAAAAACTACTACTACAATACACTACGGTGAAAGAGAGGAGCGCAATGTTGCTTTTCTGATGTTAGGGTTGCTGCGTGCTTGTTTTAATCACCCGCCGCATACATAGTTGTATTTTAAGGTATTATTTTGTTATGTTGATGGTAATGGTTTTGCATAGAGAATATGACTAAATTAACTATATTGAGAACACTGAATTAAGTAAATAATTTTGAATATTTAACCACTATCCAACTGTATGGCTAAATATTTTGTTTTTTTCTTTTGTTGGTAAAGCAATATTTTCAGACTCTATCCAACGGTGAGTCGTTTAATGCTTGAATATTGCTTTTATGTGTATTTATAAATAATTTAGGCTATACTTTTTTTACATTTCACTCCAATGATGCCGTTTTAACTTGGTTAAATATTATGTTTCTTTGTACAACTTCGTTTTTGTTATCATAGCTTGGCTATATTTCAATTTTTTTGTTTTACACTTTTTGTTGTATTTTTAATTTTGTTGAGCACTGATCTTTCTTGATTTTTTGTTTTTTTATTCTTTTACTTTTATTACATTTTATTCGTTCGTATTCTTCTTTAGTTTTATGAGACCGTGTGTCCCTGTTTACGATGTAAACAAGCTGCGCATTAAATGCAAAATACTACGGTAGAAGAGAAAAAATGCATCCGAAGGCCACGCTAGAATTTTTGGGTCTTTTGAGGGATGATTTCCCACTATCTGGTTATTTGTTAGCAGTGATGAGACTAATGGCAGCAAGCGTACTTTTTTTGTACCTTTAATTTTGTTGGAATTCTGTATATTTGTGTAGTATATTTTTACCTTTTTATTACACTTTTCATTTATGTATATTTGTTTATTAATTTAAATTCTACAAAAATATTCTTTAATACATGCCTTTATTTTGATCTTCAAAGCCACACCATACTTTTAGTACTAAACAACATAACTCCATGACTCCGTTTCATCTCTGCCTTATGTTTCTTTTAATTTCTCTCTCTCTCGAATTCTGCGTGAGAGTGAGGTGAATTTCATTGTTGTTTACCCACATGTAGTGTGCGTATGTGTGCAGTAGTAGTTATTGTCAGTTTACCTTACCAGTAATGCCAATTCATTGCCACTGATTTATTTAGTTGTGTTTTTTTTTCTTTTATTAGAAACGATCTTGTTTTGTTAAATACTAACATTTTTAAATAGTTTATAATGGTATTTATCAGTTATTTCCTTCTCTCATTTTTAATATAAGCATTCCCTAAATTTACCCCATACCATCAATTTTCATTTCACAACAAAATAATATGCTTGAAGGAGAAAAACAAAAACGAAGAAAACATCCCCCTTTGAGTTACCAGGAATTTATTATGTTTAGCTCGCTTTTTCTTTTTTCGAGACAGCAAATGTGTTACACAGGGATAATAATTAAGTAAATGTATGAAATTTTTGTTCGTGCAGAATACAAACAGCTGCCGGGGGTACATTCGTTGTATTTTCTATGTTCCATCGTCGTCGTCGTCATCGACATCATCACATGTCGAAGCATTGTTTTTGGCAAAAATTATTTGTTGGTAGGGGCGCGTTTTATGTTACGAGAATAACACGCGTTTCAATGAAAACCAAAAGAAAAAAAACAACTTTTGTAAAAACAAACATGTTATGGAATGCTATATACAGTTAACTATCCAGCAGGAATAGAAAAATGTAGATATTTTATAGGGAAGGCTCAGAGTGGTAAACGTCGATTTTTTGGGAATATTTTTTAAGAAAAAAATATAATAACATAAGAAAATAAATATATTTTTGGAAACCCAATAAATTTGAGGAATAGAGTCATTTTAAAAAAAATTATTATTTTTGAGACCCAATAAAAATCGATCATTTTTTTTTAAATATTGCTTTAAACCAATGAAATCGTGTTTTTTTTAATTCGAAGATTTGTTAAAAAATATTTTTTTTTCAAAATAAAAAAATTAATATTTTTTGTCAAATATGTTTTCAAAACTTATAAATTAAAGAAAAAATAAAAAATATATTTTTAAAAATTTATAAAAATCAAAGACCTTTATGTTTTTGAAAAACCATTAAAATTTTTGGATAAAAAAATATCGTTTTGACAAGCTATTAAAAAGTTGCAAGATTATTTTATTAAAAAAAATTGAATTTTTTCAAAAATATTCTTAGAAAACGACAATAAAAATTCTAAAAATATTTTAAATATTTTTCGAAAACATGCTTTTTTATGTAAAAAAAAAAAATAAAGACGTAGAGTTTTTAAATTTTTCTAAAAATATTTTAATTGTTTTTCGAAAAAATGCTATTTTATATAAAAACAGTTTAAGATGCAACGTTTATAATTTATTTTTAATTTAAGTTTTTATAAATATATTTTGAAAATGGTGTTTCAAAACCCCATGATTTGTCAAAAAAAAAAAAATTTTTTTTAAAACCATAACAAATTACCGTTAACTTATTACCTAGAAGCTACTAATTTTGAAATCTTTTCCTTTTCTTATGAAAAAGATTTCTTTCAATTTAATTTCAAAATCTGTCATTTCCATGAAACAAAATGTCCTAACTACCAAACTATTCCAAATTTTGACTTCGTTTCGGTTATACATGTTCCCAAAAATGCCACTTAAATTGTGTTATGGAAGATCCGTATTTAAATGATTAATTGCATATTTTAATCCTCAATTTCGTAAAATGTCATATGCGAAGAGATCACCCAGCAAATGGTGAGAGAAGATCAACAAATATAGGTAGCTTCATTTTCAGCCGCTAGCCGCCAGTTTCATTAGCTAACACGTTAGGCAAATGCAGAGCATACCAAATGCCCTATTCAAATGTAGATAATTTTACGGATCAACCATAACTTGTGAATCCTCCGGACCATTAACAAATACAACAACAATATACTAAGCATGCATACTTGTTGTTGTTTTTGTATGATATTTTAAAGCAAAGAAAAAAACAATAGTTTTCTTTATTTTTCGGAAAACAGAATATTTGACTGCTACTGCTGTGTTGAAGGGACACAACAGAACATGTATTCTTTCTCACTCTCTCTCTCGAACACACTCGAGCTACTCTCAGGTATTAGGATTATAATATTTAACTAACGAAATAACAACAATGTTCCAGACAAAAAAGGAATATACCAGAGTAACAAGAACGAACAATTCACCAATAAATAATGTCCCAAAACAATACTAACACCAAACAAGTTTGTTGTGTCCTCTGGTTATCCTCTGTTGTTGTTTTCTGGCTTACTACAAC